TGCTATAGAGCCTTGGCAGGTCTGGTACTCCTTATATAGTCTAAGCTGGCAATCTTCCTGCCTTAGGCTTCAGCATGCTGGGATTACAGGCATGTACCATCACACCAGGCTCAGTCCTTTGGTTTTCTAATAGAACAACACAGTAATGGACAGACTGGTAGAACTTGGGAAGAGCATGAAAGACTCAGGGTCCTCCCTTACCTTTAAGGCCCTCGGACCTCACAGGAGGGTCTGCCTTTGCCCCAACCAGGCTTGATGTCTCATTCCCAGCACTCCAAGGACAGTTGGTTTAAAGTCCCAATGCTCACAAGACAGACTAGGATTGTCATCAACTCTAGCTTCTAACCATGTCAGGGCCCTCCAAGACCCATGCCCTCCAAGACCCAGCAGGCAGTGTGACACCCTAGAATCCCATGCACACTTTCCACTCCTTAGGAAATACTACCATCCATTGGAAAAGCTGATCCTTGCCTCCCACTGAGACAAAAGAATACGGAAATCTCTGCTAAAAGATGCCACCAAGCCAAAACCGCGCTGAGTCGGGGTGGAGACCGACCCTGCACTTTGCTGTGTTAAGCCATTCTTCAGGACACAAGTTTACAGCCACAATTAGGTGGCTGGCTAGGCCCCGCCTCCTTCGACCCCGATTGGTCAAGATGGATTCTGGGGGCGGAGCGTTCGTGGTGCCCCAGCAAGGATAGGGAAACCCCGCCTCGGAGGTTGGCGGTGGCGGTGGCAGTGGCAGCGGCGGCCACAGCAGCTACCAAACCATGGACACCTCTGGCGTCAGCGCTGGCGGCGGCAGGAGCTCTAGATGGCCCTGGATGAGCTCCTGCGCTCTACGGTCGCCTCTCTTGCCTATTTCCTTTTTCTTTTGGTTGTTACTGGCCGCGCCTGGCGCTTGGGCCTCGGGCTACCAGGTGAGTGAGGGACGAAGGCGGAAATGTATTGGGGCTAGAGTTAAACAGTGACGGCTGCTGATCTGACAGTGTAGTTTAAGTGCTGCACTGGTCTTTGAAAGGTCTGGCACGCATCGGAGAATGGGGTTGCATTTGATCGTACCCACTTCCTTGTGACTCCGGGCCGCTGGCTTGAACTTTGCATGCACCTAACTGATTGGTGAGGCTGAGAGAGGGATCTCTGTCATGCTTAGATTGTGCTTGCTCTAGTTCCACTTGCAAGGACACGCTGTTTGGTTAATTCTGCACCTCTCAGAGTCCCATTTCCAGTGGCTGGGCTGGGAAGCCTGCTATGCAAATCCGATCACGCTGGCCTAGACGTGTACCCTCTTCCTTTTCCAGACTTGAGTATGTAGGCTGGTCTGCTCAACCCCAGCATCACCTCCTTTCAGGTTGCCTGGAGTCCCAGCTTGGCCCTTCTACTCCTTGGTTGCTTCTTTGTGTGATCTGGAGGGTCCAGCCTCAGTGTCCCAGCCTGAAAACTAGAGCTAATATTGCCCCACTTATCAGGGTAGCTGCCTGCTGATTGCACGTGCTTACCTGACATCAGCTACTTCTTTCCCCAGAGTGTGAATGAGACCTGTACTACGTAGGTTGTGTGAAGTAGTTGTGTCTATGAGGACCGTGTGTCCTGCCTAGGAGGGCCTGGCCTCCTCTGCAAATAGCTGGACGCAGATTATAGCTTTTCATCTTCTCTAAGTCACTCCAGGGCCAAGACTTCTGCTTGTGTCACTTCCCAGCCTGTTTGTGGTGCTGGAGATGGAAACTTGAGTCTTGTGCATGCTAGGCAAGGGTTCCTCCATGGACTTAATCATGTATCTCCAGCCCCCAACCTGTCTGCCTCTCACCTCTAGGTTACTGACAGGGAATGTATGTGTGTTTGGGGTTTCTGTGCAGACATGTCCTACAGTGCAGCCAGATATGCTCAATGTGCACCTGTTGGCCCATACACATGATGATGTGGGCTGGCTGAAGACTGTGGACCAGTACTTTTATGGCAGTGAGTAGAGTGTGGGCCCCCTCTAATTTCTTCAGGGACCTGGACACTGGGGTGGGAACAATAAGCTATTTGGGGCTCTTGTATCAAGGAATATCCTCCAGTGACCTCCTCAACTGCCTGACTCTTGTGTCCATAGTCCAGAATAACATTCAGCATGCAGGTGTTCAGTACATCCTGGACTCGGTCATCTCTGCCCTACTGGTGGATCCCACCCGTCGCTTCATCTACGTGGAGATGGCTTTCTTCTCCCGTTGGTGGCACCAGCAGACAACTGCAACACAGGACATTGTGCGGAAGCTGGTGCGGCAGGGTGAGCCTGCCCCAAGGGAGGGAAAAGAAGAAGTACAACACAGCTTGTACTTCTGCAAGCCTATTTTCTGAGATTATTTATTTATTATTTATTTATTTATTTATTTATTTAATTTTTGAGACGAGGTCTCCCTGTAGGCCCAGCTAGCCTGGAACTCACTATATAGACCAGAATGGCTTCAGTCTCACAGAAACCTGCCTCTGCCTCCCAAGTGCTGGGATTAAAGGTGTGCAACCATCACAACTAGCAAGATTGTTTTTTGAGACAGGGTCTTATGTAACCCTGCCTGACTTAGAACTGGCTATGTAGGTCAGGCTGGCCTTCAACTTGCAGCAATTCTTCTGCCTCTCTGCTTCCCAAGTGCTGGAACTATAGGTGTGAGACAGTAGGTGTCTCTGAGACTTCTATCATAGCATGCACAGACTGTGAGTGCCCATAGTTCTGCTTGGAATCACTCTTCATGTAGAGAACTGTGTCCCACAAGGCCCCACCTCCAGTGGCACCACATGGAAGCCATGCAGATCTGAATATACTGACTTGGGAATGCTCCTCCTTCCCAGCCTTGTCCATGCTGGCCCCACTCCTAACATCTACCCACCCCCCCCAACCTTGCCCTCCTTGCACAGGGCGCCTGGAGTTTGTCAATGGTGGCTGGGTGATGAACGATGAAGCGGCCACCCACTATGGTGCTATCATAGACCAGATGACACTTGGGCTGCGTTTCCTGGAGGACACATTTGGCAGTGATGGGCGCCCCCGTGTGGCCTGGCACATCGACCCCTTTGGGCACTCTCGAGAACAGGCCTCCCTTTTTGCCCAGGTGCCACCCTCTTCTCTTTTCCACCCGCCTCTTAACTCATTCTGACTCCTCCTTCAGTCACTCAAGCCCCACCCTTCTCTTACTATCTCTTGGAGCAGACCCTGGCTTGCCAAGCTCCACCTCTTGAGTGAGTGAATTTAACTCCTGTGAGTTCAAGCCTTGGTTGATGTCCTGGGGTACACAGGTTTAGACTGCTGTGCTCCTCTCCAGCAGGCTCCATCCCTTCCTTCAACCCAGTTCTCTTAGAATTCTGGCTCTCCCCTTTTACTAGAATTGAGGCTCCTCAGATGTAAACCTGTTGTGCTTTAAAACCAGCTTCATTGTCTGCTGACCCATAAGATTGCAGAGTCTGAAAAGCCCTTTTTAGCTTTGGATCTGTTCCTTCCCTTCTGACTGGTCCTGATCTTGGAAATAAACTTGCAGGCTTGGTGGGACCCATGCTGGTAGTGCCAGCATTCAGGAGGCTGAGGTGGGAGGATTGTGAGCTTGAGGCCAGCCTGGCCTACCCAGTGAAACCACGTTTCATAAAACCTAGTTTCAGTCCTGAGTACTTTCTCTCTGTTCTGACCTGTCTTTCCCAAGTTGAACAGCTTGGCAAGAGGGCCCTGCATGTCTTCACACCATCCTCTCCTCTGCATTCCCAGATGGGTTTTGATGGCTTCTTCCTTGGGCGCCTTGACTATCAAGATAAAAATGTACGGGAGGAGATGCTGAAGATGGAGGAGGTGTGGAGAGCCAGCACCAGCCTGAAGCCCCCCACTGCTGACCTCTTTACAGGTGAGGGGGTGGAAGAGTAAGGCAATCACACAGGACCTCAAGCTCAGAAGGGTCCTGGTGTGATTTCATGATTTGCTGTCATATCAATAATTTGTGAGCTCTGTATGTTCCCTTCTGCACTAGCCTTCTCAAATTCTGAAGTCCATCCCGAGTGGGCCATGGCAGGCTCTGACCCCATGGCAGGTCTGAGGTGCTGGGTCTGGTTTGGCCTACAGGTGTGCTCCCCAACTTGTATAACCCGCCAAATGACCTGTGTTGGGATGTGCTGTGTGCAGATAGTCCCATGGTGGATGAGCCCCGAAGCCCTGAGTTCAACGCCAAGCAGTTGGTCCATTACTTTCTACAGTTGGCCAATGCCCAGGTAACTCAGATACCTAGAGCCTGTGAGGCTGTTGTATGCAGGCACAGGCACCCAGCTCTTTCCAAATGAAGTCCAGGGGAATACTTCCGAGGGATGAGGGATTCCTCCTTTGGGATTTGTGTTATTCATTAGAAGGATGCATGAGGGCCTGGAGAGATGGCTCAGTTGTTAAGAGTGCTTGCTGCACAATCATGAGGACTGGAGTTCAGATCCCAGCACCCATGTACCCACATCTGTAATGCCAGCCTCAAGATGGGAGGAGACAGAAGGCTCACTGGGGCTTAATGCCTTCCAGCCTAGCCAAAAAATGCAAGTCCCAGGTTTAGGGAGAGACTCTGCCTCAAAGGACTAGGCATTGAGTGATAGAGGAGGACACCTGCAACCCTTCTCTGACTTCTGCATGTGCACATAGGCAAGTAAACCCTCTACACACGTACACACACTCACATAGAACACACACAGAAATAAGTTTTAAAAAGTGGGCCTGTGAGACCCACTGAAGGGGTACCCTAATTGCTTCAACCTGCATCCCTGTTCAGCATGGAAGAAACCAGAGCACTCTGTATCCTGAGTCCTTATTGACAATTTGGGTAACCTCTTCAGGGGATGGAATGATAAGAATAGGAGGTAGGAACTGGGTAGGCAGTTAGGGTAAAAAGATCCCAAAGAAAAATAGCCAGTTTCTTGGCTAAAAATCAAAGTGTCCTTGGGCCTCTTAGCAACGCCAAAAATGTCAAAAACATTTGGGAGCTCTTATCTAATCCTAAAAGGTTTTAGGGTTACCTCTTCAGAGGGGGAAATGTTAGAGTAGCAAAACACCCCATTAAGAAAAAAGAAAGAAAGAAAAGAAAGAAAGAAAGAAAGAAAGAAAGAATACATGAAGTTGTCAGAAAAAAGTGATGGGGAGATATGGGAGGAGTTGGAGGGGAGGTAATGGGCGTGGATTTGAACAAAACACCTTATATGCATGTATGAAAGTCTCAATACATTTTTTTTTAATTGGTCTTTTTGAGACAGGGTCTCCCTGTAGCCCCAGCTGTCCTGGAACTCACTATGTAGACCAGGCTGGCCTTGAACTCACAGAGATCTGCCTGCGTCTGCCTCCCGAGTGCTGGGATTAAAGGTGTGCGCCACCACTCCCGGCTTAATAAATTTTTTTAAAAGTTAAAAAAAAAGTGGGCCTATGAGATGGCTCAGTACATAAAGGTACTTGCCGCCAAGCTTGATGATCTGAATTTGATTCCTAGAGCCCACATAGTGGAAAGAGAGGACTGACTCATTTGACCTCCACACCTGAGCCATCGCAGCACACACATCATTGCAACCTGCCCTCTCTCCACATAGATAAATATGAAAAAAAGCAGCATGCATGAGACAGTGCAGCCCAGTTCCTCATGTCCCCATCTAGGTAGTGGGTCCTAGAGAACTGCTCAACAACCACTGGCTCTTTTTGTTGTTATTGTTTTCAGACAGGGTCTCATGTAGCCCAAGCTGGTCTTGAACTTTCAAGGCTGGCTTTGAACTCCCTATCCTCCTGCCTCTATTTTGAGTGCCGAGAATACAGGTGTGCAGTACTAGGATGAAACCCAGGGCTTTGTGTATGCTGGTCAAGCACTCTACTGCTGAACCACATCTCTAGCTCCTCACTAGTTAGATGTGTCCTTCTGCTCCCATGTGCCATGGTTCCATGTATATTCTTGTGGGTTTTTTGTTGATGTTGGTGCTGGTGGTGCAGGGGTGATCCAATCTGGGGCCTTGAACATACTAGGCTAGTACTCATACTGAGCTACATCCCCAGGCCCCCACATGGTTTTTTATTTTTATTTTATGTGTATGAGTGTTTTGCTTGCACATATGTAAGTACACCACATGCGTGCAAGGCCAGAAGAGGAGGTTGGATCCCTTGGAACTGGAGTTATGGATGGTTGTTAGCTACCATGTGGGTGCTGGGGAACAGAACCTGGGTCCTCTACAAGAGCAGTCAGTGATCTTTTTTTTTTTAACTTTAAAAAAAACTTTATTGAGAATTTCATACATGCATATAAGATGTTTTGATCAAATCCATGCCCACTCCCTCCCGTCCAACACTTCCCCGTCACTTTTTTATGACAACTTTGTGTACTCTTTTTTTTTTTTGTCTTTTTTGAGACAGGGTCTCCCTGTAGCCCCAGCTGTCCTCCTGGAACTATGTAGACCAGGCTGACCTTGAACTCACAGAGATCCACCTGCCTCTGCCTCCCGAGTGGTGGGATTAAAGGCATGTGCCACCACGCCCAGCTTTCTTTCCTTTTTTAGTGGGGCTTTTTGCGACTGTAACATTCCCCCCCTGAAGAGGTAACCCTAAAATCTTTTAGGGATTAGAGAAGAGCTCCCAAATACTTTTGACATTTTTGGCCTTTGGAACAGAATATGTTGCTAGGAGGCCCAAGGGCATTTTGATTTTTAGCCAAGAAACTGGTTACTTTTCTTTGGGGTCTTTTTTTTAACCCTATCTGCCTAGCCAATTCCTAACTCCTATTCTTATTACACTATCCTCTAAAGAGGTTATCAGAATCACCATTAGAGAATTGGGATGCGGACCGCTCAGTTTCTTTCATGCTGAACAGGGATGCGGGGTGAGGCAATTGGGGTACCCCTTCAGTGGGTCTATCTGAAAGACTCCCAAATTGCATAACTCTTATCTGTAGGGAGAAAAGAAAATCCTTGACTGGTGAATAGGGGATGTGAAGGAGAAGTAAAGGCAAGAGTAGTTAGCCTTACAAGTTCTAGACAGGGAACCAGAAAAAAGTCAGAACAGGGCAAATTTCAAATGTTCATATCAGAGTCCATTGGGATTTCTTCACCAGAGCTTCCAAAAACATCCCTCTACTGGGTTCCTTCTCATTTTTCTTTTGTCTGCGAAGGCTGGAGTCGAGAGTGATGGACTCAGGATTTGTTTTCAGGCACTTTGATAGCTGTTAGAGTGACTAGAATCAGTGTCAGTTCCTTCTCAAAGGCTTCTAGATAGGGGGAGAAAACAAATTTGGCCATCATTTTAGAACAATAGTGGGTTGTCTTCCTCAGCTACAGGTGGGCACTACAGTATTGCAGACCAAGACTTGAAGTCTTACATCTGAGCAGCACTTTTGTAGTCAGTGATCTTAACCATGCTGAGCCAACTCACTGGTATCTCCCCACATGTATTCTTGTACACATATAGACCACTTAGACACAGAGGGAATCCAGGACACCCTGGTCTGAGGATTCTCTTCTCATATACAGGGTAATTTTTACCGTACCAACCATACAGTGATGACCATGGGTTCAGACTTCCAATATGAGAATGCCAACATGTGGTTCAAGAACATGGACAAGCTTATCCGCCTGGTCAACGCGCAGGTCAGTATGCTGTGTGCCTCTGTATATTAATCAGATTCCTGCCACTACAACCAATGCCTGAGGTAATCAAGTCATAAAGGGAAAAGGGCCAGGCATGGAGGTGCCTTTATAACTCTGTACTAGGGATACTGAGGCAAGAGGATCACCTTAAATTGCAGGCCAGTCTGGGCTATACACTGAGACCCTGTCTCAAAAATAAAACCACACACACACACACACACACACACACACATACACACCCAAAATAGAAAATATTTAGTTGTAGCTTTAAAAAAATTGTGTGTGTATATAGCTGCATGTGCGCATGCTTGCATGTGAAAGCCAGAAGAGGCTGGCCAGTGCCCTCCTCTGTTGGTCTCTGTCTCATTCCCTTGAGAAATTGAACCTGGAACTTGGCAGGCAGCCATCCAGCCCAGCTACACTGCTGTTTCATGTTTTACTGCTATTATTAGCAGCTTGAAACGACAAACATTGTTTTACAGTGCTATAGGTTCAATGTCCAGTGTGGGTGTCAGTGGGCAAGAATCCAGGTCATAGCAGGGCTGAGGGCAGAATGTTTCCTTCTTTTCCAGCAGCTAGAGCCTGCCCACATCCCTTGGTTCATGACCCCTCCCTCCATCTCCAGTGCCAGCCACAGTGACCCTGACTTTGCTTCAGTGATCATGTTTTCCTCTTCTGCTTCCCTTTTTTTAGTTCCTTATTTCCTTCTCCTCCTCACTCTTCCTCCTCCTGTTTCTACTCCTTCATTTCTTTTTTAACGACAGGGTCTCATGTATCCCTGGCTGGCCTGAACTCACTAAGTATACCGTACTGGCCTTGAGAGACCTGTATCAAAATTAAATGAAACAACACAAAACCCTAAAACAAACAAACAAAATCAAACCATGTATAGAGAACCTTGTGAATGCTTGTGGGCCATGGGAAGGTGCAAACTCCCGAGGGTTCACACATACCTCCACCCAGCAGCAGGCAAATGGGAGCCGAGTCCACGTTCTCTACTCCACGCCTTCTTGTTATCTCCGGGAGCTGAACAAGGCCAATCTCACCTGGTATTTGGGGTGGAGGACCGGGGAGTTTGTGGGAAGGATGGCATGCCCCATGGGTTGTGACCCTGCTGCTGCTTTCAGTGGTCTTACTGCTGCTGCTTGTGCAGGTCGGTGAAAGAAGACGACTTCTTTCCCTATGCTGACGGCCCCAACAAGTTCTGGACAGGCTATTTTTCCAGCAGGCCGGCCCTCAAACGCTATGAGCGGCTCAGTTACAACTTCCTGCAGGTGAGTGAGCACGGAGTTCCGGGAGGCAAGCCAGGAGGCCTTCAGGACCGGTGCCCGACATGCCTCTTGCTCCTCAGGTGTGCAACCAGCTGGAGGCACTGGCAGGTCCTGCAGCCAATGTGGGACCCTATGGTGTGGGAGACAGTACACCCCTCAGTAAGTGTCGGTCAAACAATGGGATGGGGGCAGGATTGATGCTAGAGACCCAAACTATCCCTAGGCTACACTTGTTTTCTAGGCTTTTTTGGAGGATCAGACTCTGGGTTTCATGCATGTGAGACAAATGCTGTATTACTAAGCACTGAGCTACATCCTCAGCTATCGAGACCTTTTTTTCTCTTCTTTTTCCCTTTTGTTTTTTTGAGACAAGATCTCAAACGTAGCCCCCACCGGCCTGGAACTGGCTATTTAGACCGTGCTGGTCTCGAACTCAGAGATCCGCCTGCCTCTGCCTCCGGAGTATGCGACCTTTTCTTGATGCTCCTAAGAACCCTGTCTGCACTGGACTTTTGACGAGTCCTTGGAGGTGGGGCTGGGCGTTCTGTGGAGACCGTATCCGACTCACATTCTGCTGGCAGAGGAGGCGATGGCGGTACTCCAGCATCACGACGCGGTCACTGGCACCTCCCGGCAGCATGTGGCAAACGACTACGCGCGCCAGCTGGCAGTGGGCTGGGGACCCTGCGAGGTGCGAGAGGCGAGGTCTAGGGCTGTGACGGAGGGGGCTGAGCGGCCGGCTTCTGGGAGAGAAGGGGCGGAAACGAGTGTGGGCGTGCTCTGTGGGGCGGAGCCTCGGCGGGGTGGGCGGGGCCAGAAGGGCCTGGGCGGAGTACCAGCCGCAGGGCTCCTTAATGATCCTCAATCAGGTTCTGCTGAGCAACGCACTGGCGCGGCTCAGTGGCTCCAAGCAGAACTTCTCCTTCTGCCGCGAACTCAACATCAGCATCTGCCCGCTCAGCCGGAAGTCAGCCCGCGTGAGTGGGGCAGGGCTGGGAGGCCAGGACCCGTGGGGTGGGACCCCAGCGTGTGAAACCCGCCCGGAAGTGGACTGAGTAGTTGCAGTAATTTATTTTTGGAGGCCCATCCTGGGGCACAGGGAAGCTAAGTTAGAGTTGTCCTGGGAGGTCAGGACTGTGTGGAACTATGCTTTGCTCGATAGGTGGGTTTGGAGTCCGGCCTGCAGTGACCTGTACCTTCCTTGATTCCCAGTTCCAGGTCACCATTTATAACCCCCTGGGACGGAAGGTGGATTGGATAGTGCGGCTGCCGGTCAGCCAAGGCATTTTTTTGGTGAAGGACCCCAATGGCAAAACTGTGCCCAGTAATGTGAGTCTTCATAATGAACTCTCCTTCCCCATGGCATTTTCCCTGTTCTTGTAGATACCACCTCCATAAATCAATTCCCACCCGTCCCTTAATATTAGCTTCCCTTGAGAACATCTCCCTCATGACTGATGCCCATTTTAAGTGTCCAATCAGGACTTTTCCTGTCTCCCTTCCTTCCCCTCCTCCCTCCTTGCCTCTCCTTTTCTTTCTTGAGACAGGTTCTCACTGCTCAGACTGATCTCCAATTTGTGATCTTCCTGCCTCAGCCTCCTGAGTGCTGGGATTGCAGGTTTGGTACACCACACTCCCCAGAAAGTTTTCTGTCTAAGGACAGCTTTTTCAGCACAGAAGGTGATCTCTCTTGAACCTCTAACTCCAGCCCCTCTCAAAGATCTTTCTCTACTTCCTCCTTAACTTGTCCCCAACTCTGTCTCTCTACTTACCTTTTCTTCCTCTTCCTCTTCTTTTTCTCTCCTCCTCCTCCTCCTCCTCTCTCCTCCTCTTTCTTCCTCATGCTAGGGATAGAGTGCGCCAGGCAAGTGGTCCATCTCCCTCTTCCATCAGATATTGGTTTCTTCTTCCATCCACACCCACAGTGGCTTTATGGGTATCCTTAGAGCCTCTTGACTCAGTTTCCCTCCTCTCCTACTCGAGGTGGTGATGCTTCCTAGCTCTTACAGTAAGGAGTACCAATGGGAGCTGCTGTTCTCAGCCTCAATGCCTGCCCTGGGCTTCAGCATCTACTCTGTGGCGCGCATGACTGGTCGGAACCTCCAGGCCCACAAGATGCAATCCAGCTCCCCAAAGTCCAATTCCCATGTCTTGGCCATTGAAAACGAGGTGAGATCCTATTTGGATCCTCTTGTCTGCCTCTGTGACAAATTCAAAGTGTCATAAAACTGCTTGGATTCTAGGCCAGTGGGCCTTTGATTTAGTCTCATTCCTTTCCTGATTGTGTGGTCTACATATCAAGTTCCAGGTTGGCTAGGGCTACAGGGAGACCCTGTCTTAAAAAGATCATGAAAAAAAAAGGTGGAGATGGGGTTGGAGAGATAACTCAGCAGTTAAGAGCACTGGCTGCTCTTGCAGGCAGAGGACCTGGGTTTGACTCCCAGCACCTAACACAGTGGCTAACAACTGTCCATAACTCTAGTTCCAGGGGAACCTGATACCCTCTGACCTCTGCAAGCATTGTATGACATGGGTGCACTTACATACATGCAGGAAATACAGTCGTACACATAAAATAAAAATAATAAATGCAATATTTAGAAAAATTAAAAATTTCTAAAAAAAAATATGGTGGAGAGCCATTGAGGAAGACAACCAACCTCTGACTTCCGCATGCATGCACATAGACATGTACACACACAGACATGCCACACACAAAAAATTATATGGTGTTGCTATAAAGATAAGTACCACCATCATCAACAACAAAATACACAAAAGACTGAATGTACTAAGGAGGCAGAGGCAGGTGGATCTCTGTGAGTTCCAGGCCAGCCTGGTCTACATAGTAAGTTCCAGGACAGCTGGGGCTACAGGGAGACCATGTCTCAAAAAATCAAACCAACCAACCAGCCAACCAACAATAAAGATAGGTATCACCCAGGCAAATCTCATTATGGTATGTTCATTGTTATTCTATTCAACTTTTGTTTAGATTCCAAAGGAAATGGAAATATTTTTATTTATTTTTTGAAAGAGTCTCATGTAGCCCAGGCTGGCCTTGAACTCCCTATGTAGCTCCCAATGACACTGAATTCTGATCCTCCTGCCTCCACCTCCTGAGTGCTTAGGTTATAGGCATGTACAACCATGCTGGATTTATGTGGTGCCAGAGATCAAGCCCAGGGAACCATACATTAGCTAGGTGAGCACACTACTGAGCTATAATTCCCATTAAGACATGAAAATATTTCTGTGGGCCACTGCAAGGTTCATGGGTCCTGGCAAGGTGGCTTCTGGATCAGATGCCTGTATTGGTCCAGCTCTGGAGCAGATGAGGACCGTGATTCATTTCAGGATGTCATAGCTGGCCTTTGCTGCTGTGGGGTGAACAGACTGTGGGGGATGAGCATAGCAGTGAGGGGACCTGAAAGGGGCCGAGTTAGTCCTGGAGGGCCATGGTATATGGAAACGTAGGTAGACAGAGGCTAAGGTTGGCAGGAGCAGCTGTTACAACAGTATTTTCTCACAGGATCAAGTGCAAGCAGTGGGTTAGGTGAGGGATGCTGACAGGGAAGGATGGAGCTGCCACCAGTGGATGAAATGCTCATTTACATCTGCCCTTCATTTCACTACTCAGCACCTCCGGGCTACATTTGACCCTGACACAGGATTATTGATGAGGATTGAGAACATGGACCAGAACCTCTCACTCCCTGTGAACCAAGGCTTCTTCTGGTGAGGAATAGTGGCCTGGCTAGGCCAGGGTTGGGTACAGAGCTGGGGGTAGGGTGCATAGAGCTGAGGCCCCTCCCTGATGCTCATCTGCTCTGGCCCCAGGTACACTGCCAACACTGGTGATGCAGAGAGTGATCAGGCCTCCGGTGCCTACATCTTCAGACCCACTTGGTACCAACCACAGCCTGTGAGCCGCTGGGCTCAGATCCACTTGGTGAAGGTCTGTGACTAGAAACCATGAGTGGGTTTTGGGGACATGAGTGGGTTTTGGGGACAGAAGGTGGGAGTGTGAAACCTGGAAGCAGGATATGCTAAGTACAGGATGTGGTAGAGATTATTCCATCCCTTATTTTTAAAAATTAGTGTGTGTGTGTATGGAGGTCAGAGGACAAATTGTGGGAAGTCAGTGTTCTTTTAATATGGGTCCCCAGGATGGAATTCAGATCATCAGGCACCTTTACCCACTTTACTCTTGTTTCTCCTTCCCCAGTCTCTTGAGTGCTGGGATTATAGGAGTGTACCACCATTCCTGACTTTCTAGCTCCTTTAGATATGGAGTTAAGACCCGAGGCTCCTGTAAGGGTGATGGATCACAGTTATTTGTACAAGGGTCTCTCCCAACATGTTCATATACTCGTAGCTTTGGAAGTTGGGGATGTAACTGCTTAGAGAGTTCACTAAGGTTTGTGGTATGAATTTATATCTTGGGGTTGGAATATAGCTTAGCCTGAGTGAGGCCCTGAGTGCCACCCCAGCAGTGTCACAAGGGAGGGGAATGGTGGCAGCACTTGGGAGGCTGAGGGAGGATTATCTTAGGTTCAAGGCTAGTTATGTAGTAGGACTCTGTCTAAAAAAAAAAAAAAGAACAAAAACAAAAAACCCAACCAGAAATAACAGCAAAAGAATTGATGTATGAGTAGATGTCTGAGAATTTATACTTGGATTCTCTTGAGAGTCTAATTAGGGTGAATGTCTGAGGCAGGGAACAGTGGTTTCCTAGGACCTTTCACTGATGCTTTCACCTAGGGTGAGAAAGGAGTAGATAATGCTAAGACTCACATTTATATGGCTTATGAGCCTCACATTTGATGTGATTCCCCTCCAGGAAAATGTCTATGTATCTATTAGAATATGATTTGGCCTGTAGTAAAAGAGTTATCCAAATTAATTATGCTTACAGTAAGATAAGATTTTTTTTCCTTCTAACAGAATGTTTGTCTGGGCCATCCAGGGAGGGTAGAGTGGTTTAACAGTCACTAATGTTCCTTCTATCTTGCTTCTATAACTTCTTTAATGTTCATCTTTCTCCTCATGGTCCAAGATAGCTGCTCAAGCTCCAGCCATCACATCTACATTTGAGCCAGCGAGAGAGGGAAAGGGGCAGATTTTCCATGGGGCAGATTGTGGGCATACAGCTCCTTATAGCCTTTAGGAAGACAGGACAATATAGTCTATATGCTAGGAAGTCACATGTCAAACTAGAATCCTATCTTAAGAAGGTGGAGATGGGTCAATGATAGGTAGCAAGTATATTTAACACAATCAAGATTTATGTAGCTCTGGCTGGAGAGATGGCTCAGTGGTTAAGAGCAATGACTGCTCTTACAGAGGACCTGGTTTCAGTTCCCAGCACCCACATGGCTAAGAACCATCCATGACTACAGTTCCAGGGGGTCTGACGCCCTCTTCTGGCCTCTGTGGGCATTGCATGCATGTGGTGCACTTAACATATGCCGGCAAAGCATTCATACACTTTAAAAAGTAAAAGTGTGTGTGTGTGTGTGTGTGTGTGTGTGTGTGTGTGTAGGGGGGGTGTGGAGGCTGGCAAGATGGCTTAGTGGGTAAAGGCAGCTTCTGTATACAAATAAATATATAAAATGGGCTGGGTGTGTGGTGCTACCCTACCTTTAATCCCAGCACTTGGGAGGCAGAAGCAGGAGACAGGGAAACGCTGTCTCAAGAAAACCGGAAAAAAAAAAAAAACAAAAACCAAATTAAAACTTCAAGAGGCAGTGAGAGTATGTGAAGGGGAGGTGGATTGTTAGCTGAAACTCTGTTTTGGGGTTCTCAGCCATGTGGCATTCAGAGGGAGGCTGACACCTTCATACTCTGTGCCTACAGACAGCCTTGGTGCAGGAGGCACACCAGAATTTTTCAGCCTGGTGCAGCCAGGTGGTTCGCTTGTACCAGGGGCAGCGTCACCTGGAGTTGGAGTGGACTGTGGGACCAATCCCAGTGGAGTAAGTGACACAGGTGGGGGTAGGGATCAAGCACAAAGTGTTGGTTAGGGGCTTACAGGTCACCTTTCTTTTGAGTACAGGGACGGATGGGGGAAGGAGGTCATCAGTCGCTTTAAAACCGGGCTGAAAACAAAGGGTCAGTTCTACACGGACAGCAACGGCAGGGAGATCCTGAAGAGAAGGTGGGGCAAAGGGCGCCACTGGGTGCTGTGTTGGGTCTTGGGGCCACAGGGAATCTTGGTGATATGAGTATGGCAGGAAGAGGATGAAGGGGGAGCAGGGCCCCATATCTGATCAAATCACACCCCTCCCCAGGCGGGATTACCGACCCACTTGGAGACTGAATCAGACTGAGCCTGTGGCTGGAAACTACTATCCAGTCAACACTCGAATTTACATCACGGTACTCTCCCCTCCCCCTGCTCCCGGGATAGCATCTCCCAAGCACCTGGGCCAGGGTGGGCTCATGCCAGGGCCCTTCACTGTCAGTCCCTCCTCCCAGGACGGAAACATGCAGCTGACGGTGCTGACCGATCGCTCCCAGGGAGGCAGCAGTCTGAAGGATGGCTCGCTGGAGCTCATGGTGAGCTGGGGATAGGGGTAGGGTGGTGGTGGTGAGGGGAGAGCCAGGCTCCTCCCATGGGAGGCCCAACCAGCTCTGCCGGACTTGAAGGCTGTTGTCCCTACCTGTTTTCTGCTTGTGGCCTTCAGGCTCAGTAGAGAGAGCTCCATTCTTTACTCTTCCCCTGTCTCCTCAGTGCTAGGATTACAGGCCTGCATCACCATGCCTGGCTTTCGAACTACATTTCTATGTTGGACTTTTCCTCCTCGTATCCAGTCCTTATCCAGGCCTGCCCTCGTCCTGTGCAGGTCCTCCAGTTGGGAAGTTACCTTACTTTGTCCCCCCACCCCCCCGGCTTTTGTCACTTGGGCCTCACTTTTGCTGGGGTCTCCAGATCTTAGCCTTTATTGTTTCTCCCAGTCTTGAATTTTTGTTGGAATTCCACATGTCTTTACCCAATTTCCGGTCCCGGAACACTTGCTAGCTCCTCACCGTCTCCTGGCTGCTCCTCCCAGGTGCACCGACGGTTGCTGGTGGACGATGGTCGCGGCGTGGGGGAGGCCCTGATGGAGTCCGGAACTGGGGAGTGGGTGCGAGGGCGCCACCTCGTGCTTCTGGATTCAGTTAAAGAAGCGGCCGCCAGTCACCGACTGTTGGCAGAGAAGGTGGTCCTGGCTCCCCAGCTGGTGCTGGCCCAGGGAGACGGCGCCTTGTACCACGCCCCCGCGGCCCGGCGCACGCAAGTGCGTCAGGTAGGGCTGAAAGGGAGGACCCGAATGAAGCCTTCTGGGGAGCAGGGTTCAATGTGCATTTTCCTCAGGGCTAGCCTTGGGAAGGTCAGAAGCTGATCCACCCACTCGCTCACCCAGTTTCCAGAAGGCCCCATCCAATCCCAGCCGGCCCAGTCTGGTCATGGACCTGAGCTCCTTCACTTCCTTGAACTCCTCGGCGGGCCCCTCTCTCCGCCCCCCTGATGTCCCGTCCCACCAGTTGGCCAGTTCCACTGCTCCCTGGCTTCACTTCACCCCAATTCCGTCACATCTCATAGCATTTAATTTCTGTCCTCCCTGCACACCCCAAATCTGGGGTCGACGAGTCCCCTCGTCGGCTCAGCTTTCTTGTTCCGGTCCTGCCGCCCCTCCCTCGACGGAGTCTGCAAGCTTTCTGATTAAGCTCCTAATGGACTCCCTTCTAAGAGAGGCCTCCCTGGTGGGGGGTGGGGGGGTGGTGGTGGTCTTCTAAGCCCTTAAGGAGTGAGCGCGCCGCCTCGTCTAAGCTCCTCCCCTTAAGGAGTGGGTCCCGCCCTCGTCTAATCACCACTAATCTCCCTCATCCGCAGTTCTCTGGACTTCGCCGAGAGCTACCTCCACAGGTGCATCTGCTCACACTGGCCCGCTGGAGCCGAGAGAGGCTGCTGCTGCGTTTGGAGCACCAGTTCGCAGTGAGAGAAGATTCCGGCCGCAACCTGAGCTCTCCCGTAACCCTGAACTTGCAGGTGAGGAGGGTGGAGCTGGGAAAGAGACCAGAAAGAGACAGGTAAAAACTAGGCTTTGCCTTTCAGCAGGATCCATCCATTCTTTGCAGGACCTGTTCTCAGGCTTCACCATCACCCACCTGCAGGAGACCACTCTGGCAGCCAACCAGCTCTTGCACCGCGCCTCCAGGCTCAAATGGAAACCTACCACAGGTGAGGATCTGGCGAGGATCCTGCCGAAGGCTGGTAGCTGAGGGTGGAATGTGAGGCCTGGGGAGATTGGTTAGAGGCTAATTTAGAGCTTGAAGACCCACATGGCACCCAGATTCAGGAGCTTAAGAGTCAATAGTGACGGCTGGAGAGATGGCTCAGAGGTTAAGAACACTGGTTGTTCTTACAGAAGACCTGGGTTCGAATACCAGCACCCACATGGCAGCTAACAACTGTCCATAACTCCAGTTCCAGGGCATCCGACAGCCTCTTCTGACCTCCATGGGCATTGCAGGACGCGGGTGCACTTATATATATGCAGGCAATACACTCATACACATTAAAAAAAAAATCAATAGTGAGTCCAACAAATCTGAGATGACCTGGAGTTTGGGGGATGGAGTTTGGTACCAAGAATGAGCCGAGTCTCCAGCAGTGTCTAGCTCTGTGACGGTGTTCATTACTTTTGGGAATAGGAGAGTGATGGCTACGAGTTGGAGAGGGTTTTGGGAATCTGGAGGTGCTGTTCAGGCACAGGGAAGTAGTTTAAGGATCTGGGTGTGAGCCTTGGGGCAGATTGGAGTGTATAGGTGTGTCCAGGCCTCATTCCCTCCCTGCTCATCTCCAGGTCCCATTTCCTACTCTGCTCCTTCCAAGCTGGATCCTACCTCAGTCACATTGCAGCCCATGGAAATCCGTACCTTCCTGGCCTCAGTCCAATGGAAAGAACACAGCTAGGCACCCCCAGGAGGTGGAGATGGCTCTTTCCCCTCCCCTTGTTGTAGCCACTCACAAAAATCATTAAAATGCGCTACTAAGGTCATGCTGTGACTCTATTATTTTTTAAAATTATTTTTTATTTATTATATTTTTATTTTATATATATGAGTGTATTGCCTGCATGTATGTAAATGCACTTGTGTCATGCAATGCCCATGGAGGTTAGAGAAGGGTGTCTGATTCCCTGGAACTTGAGTTATAGACTGTTGTTAGCTGCCATGTGGGTACTGGAAACTGAACCCAGGTCCTCTGCAAAGCAGCTATTGCTCTTAACTGCTGAGCCATCTCTCCAACTCCTAAAGATTTTATTTTATTTTATTTATTTTTAATTATTATAATTATATATATATATATATATATTGTGTGTGTGTGTGTGTGTGTGTGTGTGTATGTGTAGGTATGGGCATGTGAGTGCAGGTGTCCTTGGAAGCCAGAGGTGCCCCTGGAGCTGGAGTTACAGGTGGTTGTGAGCCACCCCATGTGGATGCTTGGGAACTGAACTCAAGTCCTTTGGAAGAACAGCAAGTGCTCTTAACTGCTGAGTCATCTCTCTAGCCCCGTGTGAATTATTTATTTTTGGTCTTTTTTTGGGACAGGGTCTCCTCTGTAGCTCTAGCTGGTCTGGAATTCCCTATGTAGACCAGACTGGCCTTGAACTCACAAGGCCCACTTCTGCCTCCTGAGTGCTGGGATTAAAGGCATATGCCTGCATGTGCCACCACACCTGGCACTATGTGAGTTATTTTTGAGGAGGGGGCATAGACTGTGTGACCCAGAGAAGCCTACCTGAGCCCTGACCCCAGGCCCTATGTGGAGATTACTTCTTCATTGGAATCCTCATATCAGCATGCCCCCCCCCCCCCCCCCCCCCTCCCCCCCCCTCCCGGCTCCCCCTCTCCCCCTCCTTTGTTCCTTTGTCCCCTCCCGCCCTCACACAGAATTCTCAAGAAGCCCTGAGGGCAGGGTTTTGGGGGGGGGGGGGGGGGGGGGGGACACGGCCTCAGAGAACCAGATATATCCTGGGTCTTTCCTGAACTGGCCTTTAGGGCACTAGGCCTTCTAGGCAGGGAATCTGATCTGGGAGGTCTGGGAGGAGGTAAGCAGAGCCAGCCAGAGGATTCCCCAGTGAGCTCCTTTCCTCCCCTGCTTTGTGAGCTACCAGCTTGAGCCCTCTGAGGAAAGTATGGTATTCCCTGGAATTGTAGTGTGTTCTGATGTCTGTTAAGGAGATGTAGCTGGGTGTATAATCCCAGCAATCAGGAGACCTAAACAGGAGGATCACAGTTTGAAGTCAACACAGTTTCATAGTGAGACCCTGTCTCAAAAAAAAAAAAAAAAAAAAAGAGGCTGGGGAGATGGGTCAGCAGTTAAGGGGACTTAAAAAAATTTAAAAAGGTTGGGGTTGTGACTTGTGCCCGGGTTCTCAAAATGAAGGAGATAAGGGGAGGGTCACCCAGACAAAAAAAAAAAAAAAAAAATAGAGGCTGGAGAGATGGCTCAGCAGTTAAGGGTACTTAAAAAAATTTAAAAAGGTTGGTGTTGTGACTTGTGCCTGTGTTCTCAACATGAAGGAGATAGAGGTAGGCTCACCAAGAGTTAGAGGCCAGCTTGGGCTAGAGTGAGTTCCAGGTCTGCCTAGGGTAGAGTGAGACCTTGTCTCAGAAAAAACAGAAATAAATTAAAAAAATGTCATTAAGGCCACCCTTTAGTCAAAGCGGACCAGCTTCCACTCAGGTCACCCCAGTCTTGTAGAAGTCCCTTAATGGCTCATGGAGACAGACAGGACATCCCCAGCCTCTCTGTAGCCCACATGAGAACCAATGTTTGGAAATGCCTCTCAGCAACATGCTGTCACCCACCAGAAGTGAGACTGATGGATTAGAGAGGAGTATCATGTGGGACCCTGTTGTACCACTTGGGAAAAGAATTCCAAATCTCCTGGAAAGGTCATTGGGTTGCAGGCCTGCACAGGGGCTGTTCCTTAGCCCTTTGATGGCAGGGATTGGCCCTGGGTGGACAGGGCCGTCTTGGCCTTGTGGTGTTTCCAGCACTGTGTCTGGCATGGGAAACTATGGATACTGGGGTTGGGTAGAGGAGAGCACTGTGAATTTTGCTGTAGCCCTTGCCACAAAATGGAGCCTTGTTGCAAAACATACCCATTTTTCTAAGTCTCCTTGAGGGAGGAATTGCTCAGACTTGCTGGTGGGGCCTTAGTGGGGTTCCCTGTTCCTACTCACCACATCAAGCATAGTACTGGAATGTTGCAAGGATTTTCTCCTGGGGTTGTGGGCAGGGGGAGAACTAAGCCATGTCTACTCCCTCCTCATAATGTCCTAATGACAAACCAAAGTTTGATTCCACTAAAGTTTTTCCTAGAGAACCTATGACTTTATTGGGCTTACTTAACAGAGCATGGGTGAGGGGTTACAGGCACAGGTGGCTTCTAAGCAGCCACACTGGAAAGGCTTTACTCAGCACATCTGAGGGCTTCCCCATTACCACATAGGTGGAGTCCCCTTCCCCTTGTCTTCCCTAGCCTATATATTCTACCTCTCTCTGAGACCCAAGGCTACTTGCAATTAGGGCAAAATGCCTGGCTAGGACAAGTGGTTGTATACTACCCTACTCATCTCCTTCTAGGAGGGAATGTCTGCTGTCTACAAGCCCAGCTGTGATGATTTTTTGTGAGCAGCCCCAGCTGGTCCTGCGAAGATGGTGGCTGTTCTGCTCAGAGGATAGAGTTACACAATATGGAGGCAGCACCCTAAGCATATCTATATACCATGCCCTATCAGAAGTATGGCCTGGCAGGGAAATCCAGAGAAGCACCCTGCTTTGGATGCTGCTTGGTGTGGTGCAGTGGAGAAATATTTGACTCCCTATCTGGAGGATTTACACTGCCCAGTCATAGAAATAAGACTGGACTTTGCAGTGTAGACTAGTTCATAATGCATTGTTTATTCCACACTGGCCTCAACTCATGACCCTCCTGCCTCGTCCTGAGTGCTGAAATCAAAGACATGCGCTGCTATATCTGACTCATCAAAACTTAAAAGTCTCACTCTAGAAGGGGAGCTAGCCTGTGGAAAGGAATCCAAAATTGTAAGTCATGCTGTGTTGGGCCCTATTCTTGCATGACTTGGGAAAATGTTTTCAGTGACCTTTGAGAGGGAGGCAGTGGTAGGGTGGCCTAGGAGTCATTTGGAGGATGACTTGCGCTCAGTTGCTGTCCTTCACAGGGCTCAGTAACCAGATATGTGTTTGTATGTTTGTGTGCAAGCTCAGGCTGCAGTGGACAGTTGGTTCAAGGATCTTGTCAGGCAATAAGCACCTTGCTGAGCCATCTGGCCCTCCCTGTTGTTTTGAGATAGGGTCTCATGTAATCTAGACTCACTATATAGCTGAGAATGATCTTCAACTCCTGATCATCTTGCTTGTACCTCCTGACTATTGGGACTATTTTTAGGTTTTTCTATGACAGGGTCACTGATTAGGAAGGGCTAAGGCAGGGAAGGACCCTGCTAAGCACAGTCCCACATGAGGTAGGCCATCGTTGAGTGACTCAGAAAAATTCCCAAGTACCCCTTTGGAGGCAGATATTGCCGGTTAAGCCTTTCTGACTGGTCCGTGGCCTATCCTGGTACAGGTCCTTTACTGTTCTCCCACCTGGTGGCAGTTTGTATATTGTCACTGAAGCTGGGTGGCCATGCCCCATAGGAATCACCCATCTGGAAGCCCAAGGTTCTAGGAGGCTGGCAGCTTGTTGTGGGTGTCCAGGATGCATCCTCTGATTGTCACTGCAGGACAGAGGGGAGCTGCATGTGGGACTTGTGCTGATTGTCTCTCACAGGCTTGGCCCCATCTCCACCTGGTGCAAGCCCAGTGCGCCTCCTGAGAATTTGTGTCCGACTCAGTCCTGCACTGCAGGTGGGTCGCCTTGATTGAAGCTCTTGTTAAATCAAACTTGGAGACCAGAGGTGTCTGAAATAAAGTGTTTATTGATGCCTAGCCCATGGTAAAAGGACCCCTTCTGGACACATCCCTCACTCCACTAGCAGCATGGACAGGGAGCAGTTGGGAAAATGTTCACCAGACTTACGGAGCCCAGGGTGTTTTATAATGAAGTTATAGGGAATAAGAAACACAAATCATTTATGCTGAGACTCTGCTGACTGTCGATGAGGGCACTGCAGAGTTCTCAGAAAGGAGGTGTATCTGTAAAGCGGCTGTTTTTGCTACTTCTTGGTTGGTCCCAAAGCAGAATTCAATATAACCTTCTGAGGCAGCTTTGGCAGCCTGATAAGGAATAGAAGGAGCTCTTCTGACTTTTTTTTCTTTTTCTTTCTTTTATTTTTATTCTTTGAGATAGGGTCTCCCTGTAGCCCCAGCTGACCTGGAACTCTGCATATAGAGCAGGCTGGCTCACAAAGATCCACCTGCCTCTGTGCTAGGATTAAAAGAGAGTGCCCCCACATAGGGTTCCAGTGATTTTCTGTGATGGCCTGGTTTGAAGATGGGGTTGAAGTGGCCTATGCCTTTCCTTCTTCTGCCCTCCTTTCATTCTCTAACTTGTAATATAATTTAGGACATCTCAATTTTATTTTAATTATTTAATATTTTCTGGGACATTATTATTATATCTCAGAAATATTTTAAGATTTTATTTATTTTTATTTTTTTGGTCTTTTTGAGATAGGGTCTCCCTGTAGCCCCAGCTAGCTTGGAACTCATTGTGTAGACCAGGATGGACTTGAACTCATAAAGATCTGCCTGCTCCTGCCTCCTGAATGCTGGGATAAGATTTTCCTTTTCTTTTTGTTCTTTTTTGAGACATGGTCTTCCTGTAGCCCCAGCTGTCTTGGAACTCGCTATGTAGACCAGGCTGGCCTCAAACTCACTGGGATCCGCCTGTCTCTGCCTTCCCCCAGAGAACAGAATAAGGTATTGAACCCCCCGAAGCTGGACTTACAGGTGGGTATGAGCAGTCTGATGTGGATGCTAGGAAATGAACTTGGGCCTTTGCAAAAGCTGTAGGAGCTCTTC